AAGTAAAATAATATACCTTATATTTTTCTATCAGAGATTAATCTAGTAAAACGTAAGTTTACTAGTAGTTATGTTTAAAGACTATTTCTATATTTCAAACTTCTTCTTGCTGGTATTTTCCCTCTTCGTTGTAAAAGCTTCCTTCTTGAAACATGGTCACCTTATCAGCTGACAGCATTCGAACCGCTCGATACCGCTCTATTTGTGTTTCAGTAAGCGAATTAGCCGGGCGAAAGTTGGTCGTCGGCATCCCTCTGCTGGGCGAAATTTGCCGTTCGCCGGGTATTGTGTTTCAAGCATAACGCGAGACGGTTGATAAAGATATTTGATCGTCTCCATAGCGCTTAACATTAAAAAAAAATGGAAGTAGTTACAGGAAAAGTGGTTTTTCGCGTTCCAGGTGACTTTTATTTTTTCTCTCTTGCTCCTCTCTTTCAAGAGAGTAATTTTGTTATTTGACAGTTTTACAGGTTTTTACGCGAAGTTATCTGGAACGCAACTAATGTTACGTCTTGTTTAAAAAGACATTACAAACTGTGTCATAGTCATTTTGAAAAGGTGAAAGAGGGTGATCGAGCACTAAATCTTTTAGAATTAAAAGCAGCGTTCTTTATTAAATGTATGGTTGGTGAAAGTAATATACATCAACACGAAAATTATCAATGTCTATCAGAAAATGATTCTCTATCAGAAAATGATAGATCATTTCTAAAAAAAGTATCTTATTCTGTCGCTTTGGCTTTTTATTTAGAATTTCTAGAAAAGTTTTAGGTATGCAGTTTATAGCCCATTAAAAAAAGTGCAAATTTCACGCGCTAAGAAGTCGCGTTGATTTTTAATGATTGACATTTTCTTTTATATGTTAGAAAATGCCTAGCACCGTCAGATAAAAAAGATAAAGATAAACATTAAATAATAAAATATAAATAGCTAAAACTGGTCAAAATGTCACTTGACATAATCAGCTGACCATAAGTGCTTATAACATATCGTCGCTGCGCCAACAAAAACAGTTATGTGATTTTTGTAATTTTTTTGTATTGCATATTTTATTTACACTATCTATTCCCCACATTTCTGCATTTGCCGTTTTCTTATATTTCTTTTGGTTTAGAACTGATCAAAAACAGCTACCCTG